GCAATGATCGGAGAGAGATTCAGCAGCTTCCAGCCACTGATCTCTCCTCCGATCACTGGACCCGGACGTGATGTGTATTAAATCACTTCCAGTGTCACTATTTACATTCTCCGGCTCTTAGAGCCAGGAGATGAAGCTGGGGAAGCGGCTATTTGCTTTCTCAGCTTCTTTGGGCCCCCTAGGTGGACGCATATACACACGCAAATATGCATTGGTGCCCCTACGTGCGAAAACAACAACTGCGATACACATGTTACATGTTGCCGCGAACGTTGGAGTGAGAGCAATAATTCTAGCGCAGTCAATCACTGTTAACACTTAACTGATGAGTGGTCCCCCCACCCCCACGTGCACGCATATACACACGCAAATATGCATTGGTGCCCCTACGTGCGAAAACAACAACTGCGATACACATGTTACATGTTGCCGCGAACGTTGGAGTGAGAGCAATAATTCTAGCGCAGTCAATCACTGTTAACACTTAACTGATGAGTGGTAAAAGCGTTTAAAGTGTCCCCTATGGGAATTATTTTGGGTATTGAAGTTTTTTGCGGCTTCACGGGCGAACGTAATTTTAAGGCTTGACATGTTTGGTATCTATTTACCCGACGTGACCCCGGCTTTTATATTTTACCCAAAAATTGGTCATTATATTCTGTTTCCGTGCACTAAATTTAAATTTAGTTTATTTTATCCTGAAAATACTTGTTTGGTAAACATTTGCGCGAATACCGTGCGACATAGAAAATTGCAACTAGCATGTTTTTATTCTACAGGGCCTCTGCATTCAGAAAATAGATCATTGGGCGTCTGGAGTTTTTTTTCTGTAGCCAAAATTTATATTTTATCATGTGTGTGTAAGAAATTGCTCCGGACAGCAAGTGGTTAAAGGAGAACTATGGGGTTAGGGCTTTTCCCCATAGTTCTCCTTAGGGTAACGGGAGGACACAAACTAGCGTCCTCCCGTCACCCTAAGCTCAGTATACCGCGAGCTATAGCTCGCGGTATACTGAGACGCCGCAGCCGGAGCGGATCCCGACAATTATGTCTGGAAGATCGGAGCAGGGAGGGGGGAATCCAGCCCCTCCCCTGTCACGGCAGAGAGGCATGACAGGATCGAGAAGTCAGCGAATGCCGGTATGTGTTCGCTCACCTCCCGATCTACTGAGCCGACGTGCGACAGTCTCATTGTCACAGGTCGGCTAGAACTATGAGGTGAGTGAGAAGCACTTGTCACTCACCTCATAGTTCTCCTTTAAAGACTAACATCAGCCCAATCATTTTTTATTGTTTTTACTTTGGATAGAGTGGGGAGGAGATAGAACTATAGTCTAAAATCAACGTCATCATCTTGGGCTCAGATTTAGTTTTTTGTGCTTTGCCATCTCACGTTTCTCTTCTTTTTGTGTTTTTTCAGGGTTTGGAAGTTCCTTTAGTCGCTATAGTTCACTGGTCAACAACAAAACTGCCATATACATGTGGGATTTACACCCATTACAAGTAAGTGATCAAATCCCCAGATGGATTGTTCTGGTCAGTCACAAGGACGCGAGTCACCTTTACCCTTTCTTCCAGGCTCCCGAGTATTCGGCTGGAGAGGCCGCGGTTTGTCATGACCGCCCGCTGTGACTCTCCAGTTCAGGCCCATTCTACGTTCCGTGTCACCTACACCCTGCTGAACGATCTGCAGGACTTTCTAGCTGTCCGACTGGTGTGGTCACCGGATAGCAACACAGGAGCGGGTGGTGAGTAGAGAGAGGGCAGCGAGAGGCGAATACTTCTACTATCATGTAGGACAAGGATATCCTGAATGTCTATCCTCCCCACAGGTCGGTGCTTGTCAGAAGAGGAGCGACGGCTGACACAAGCCTCCCAGGAGGCCATGGTGTGTTGCACTCCTATCAATAGTCTGGGGTTCTGTCGGAAAGGCAGCTCAGTGACCATCGGTGTTACCTTCATGGCTTTAAAAGCCGGACTGTTTGAGGTGAGGAGAAGTGAACTGCAGTGATCTGTGAGTTTGGTTTTCTAAGGACCTGCGTCAATGGGCTTTGGTTTGCTAGAAGCAGATTTGGCATTCACATACAAGCCTATGGGAAAAGTGAAAGCTGCGTGAAGCAGGTCAGAAGGAAGTCAACTGCAGGTCAAATGCATCTGTCAGTGAATTCTGAGTGATCTCTGAAACTAATGCCAAGCAGATGACTTCAACACAGGCCCTGAGGCTAATGGGCACGGTATGTGGGTCTGTGATGTAGAGCTGCACCAATTATTCGATTAAGTCGATTAAAATCGACGATGGAAAACGTTGTCAACGTTTTCCGTCGTCGATTCGTTGGCTAAAATTCAAATTTGCCGCTCACGCCACGCCCACGTCGGTTAAGCCGCTCGCGCCACGCCCACCGCACGCGCCGGTAAACCCGCTCACGCCACGCCGCTTATGTACTATTGCTGGCATTTGCTGTATTCCTATATAGCTGCTGGTAGTCTGCATTTCGCCGTATAATCATTATACAGCCCACTGCAGAATATCACCAGCTATAGAGGACTACAAATCCCAGCAATAGTACATTATGCTATAATGTACTATTGCTGCATTCCTCTATAGCTGCTGGTATTCTGCACTGCGCCGCTGTATAATGTACTATATTGCACACCACGCTTTTTTTTTTAACTTCCACTGCGCCAAGCTTGCTCCTGTGATGGACTACAATCTCAATAGAAACTAGTAGTCCATCACTGGAGCCTTTTAAAAAAATGTTTTAACCGATTAATCGAACTTAATAATCGGCTAACTAATCGATTATGAAAATAATCGTTAGCTGCAGCCCTACTGTAATGTAAAGGAGGTCCCAGCATCTTCTCTTATGGCCAAATATGCTTTGGTTAAAGACAGGGGCATAACTAGCAATCACAGGGCCCCATAGCAAAATTTTGTATGGGGCCCTGTGATTTCTAGTTACACCCACCTGAGAGTGACCCTGCAGAGCCCACCATAGACTCTCTCTAGTGGGCTCTGCAGGGTCTCAGGTGGGCTGGTCAAACCCTCTTACCTGTCAGCCCTAATCCACTGTCTGCCTCCTCCACGGTCACTGACGGGCCCCGCCTCCTCCCTTGTTGGGCCCAGCCTCCTCAATCACCGGACCCTGTCTCCTCCATTGCTGGGCCCCGCCTCCTTCACTGCCGACGCCGGGCTTAGCCTCCTCCTCCTCAGCTGCTGGCTGTCACTGACTCAGCAGCGGCTGTGAGGAGGAATGCGGCGCTGCACACATCACTGACAGTGTCAGTGATCTAAACAGCGGTGTGTTCCTCCTCACAGCTGACAGTGACAGCCAGCAGCCTTCAATGCCATAGCGACCCAGGTGGCCCGCACAGCATCCGAGCGTTGTCCTGGCCGGGCCCCATAGCGGCTGCCTGGGTCGCTATGGCGATTGTTCCTCCACTGGTTAAAGAGGTTCTCCAGTTAGAATTCTACATCTCCATGTGTGGTATCCCTGACTTTCACGCAAGCACTCTGACAGTCGATAGGGCTAAGCTGCAGTGCCAGCACAATAGGTTCCATGCAAAACGTTTGTTTAAATGTAAACCAAGAGAGCAAACTGTCCAAATAGAGGAAAATCCTGGAAAAATGAGTTCTACTTCATACAAGTAAAACCGAAACTCCAGTCAACGTCCACATCTTGCATGTGTAGCCATAGAGGCATTCCTATTGACACAATGCTGCAGTTAGCACATACACAGACCCATTTCATCAGGCAGTAACTCTATGGGATGGCAGGAGAACGAGCTGACAATGGTTTCCCAAAGAATATCCCAGGCAAGGGCCAGATAGATCTTGGCCAGCAGGTAGACAGTCCAGAGCTCTGCCAAGACTGTAGTTTCAGATGGATATTAACAGCTTATCCTAGTAGATCTGTACACAGCACAGGTCCGCTGTAAGGACTAGAGGTGCAACGAAATGAAAATTCCAAAGCTGAAACGAAATATTTTATTTTAATTTTTTTATAAACGTTTCAATTTTTTTATCTTTATTTTTATTTATTTTATTTTTTTATTAAATATTTTTATTTTTTACTTTACTTTTAGGGGCTTTGTGGAAATATTAGGGATCTAAACAGACCCCTGATATTTCCCTTTTAAAATAGAAAAAGAGATTGGGGACACGGAGTCCTCAGAGAACACAGAGTCCTCAATCTCTTTTTCTGCAGCCCCTGTTATCAATGAACAGGAATCCTCTATACTGAGCGCTCCTGATCATTGATAACATGAGGACAGAGTATGTTTACTATAACTACAATCATGAATGGACAGGAGGGGATGTAGATCATTTCCCATTCATTCATAATTCAGCATATAGTAAACATACTCTGTCCTCAATTATGTACAAACACTCAGCGATCACTGACTGCTTCTACTCCGCTCTCCTCTCTGACACGCTGTCACAGGAGGCTGAGCGAGCGGAGTGAGAGGAGAGCTCAGCCCCCTGTGACAGCGCTGGCGGTCTGCGCCCACACTGCTCTCCTCTGATCTGTGATAGGAGGCTAAGCGGTGTGGGAGGAGAGACGCCGGCCGCTCACAGCGCTCTCCTCCCGCAGCGCTCGGCCGCCTGTCAGTTTCTCTCCTCCCCGCTGGGACACAGAGCAGCGCCCAGCGGGGAGGAGAGAATAGGATGGATGCACATCGGTATCGGCTAGAAAATTCCACTTTCTGCATCATGCCAAAAGTGACATTTTCGGCCGATATATCGGTGCATCCCTAGTAAGGACGTTGTTTAAATGAAGTCTGATTTTCCTGGCTCCCATATGGGCACTTTACTCCCCTTCCCAGATCATTACCCCCTTCCTATGTCCAGGGAGTGGTGATGGGGTTACACAGAGGTGTGGAGTGTGTGTGTGTGAGGG